AGTTGTGTGGTTGTTATAAGAGACAAAACTGAAATACTAATGATTCAGAATCTGCTATAGGGTATGTAAAGTATATAAGTTTGGTTTAGTATATAATGTCCTCTAAYACATGGCTATGTATGTGCACATAGGGGTATGTATGAATGCATTGCAACAGCAGCTGACTAAGTTGTTATGATGCTTGATTGATGATTTGGAGTTTTCTGTCTGTGTGCGTGTGTGTGTGTGTCTGTGTTATGCACATGCCATCACCATTATGCACCATGTACACATGTTTACAACCTATTTATAAATTTTATATTAACTGGATTTTACAACCTGTTTACATGTTGGGGGCAGAATGTGGTTGTGAGAGATGTACAACATCATCAAAGATTGAACTGTATGAAAACACACACACACACACACATGTAACATGGTTGTTTGCTTGTTTGCTTGTTATGTTCTATAGAAGATGATGTAGTCCCAAACAGAATACGTACCTTTGTAGAAGCTTCAGATACTTTGTATGAATCAGCAGTAATGGAGTGAAGCCACAAACCACGAAACAGATTCTGCATACATTTCACAACTTCAAGGTTCAAAATTTGACTGCAGCATTTTGTTTCTATTTGAAGTACAATATACACACACACACAGAGAGAAAGCATAATTGAAAACAGGTTGCTGCTCTATCTAAACACATACACACACACAGAGAACATGATTTCTATCTTTGACTAATTGAGGTTGAGGTTGAGGTTGCTGCATCAACTATTTGACTAATTGAGGTTGAGGGTTTCAAACTTAATAGAACATGATTTCTATCTTTTTCTTCATATTTTGTAACAGGGCTGTTGTGTTGGTTTCTAGAAAAAAGTCCTATCAACAGCAGAACAGATCAATGCACAGAAACGTTATGCAAGTTTATACACTATCAACAGCAGAACAGATCAACAGTTTAAGCACAATACACACACACACAACACTTGACTACAGTATGAAGTAAAAGTAATACATAGTTGTGCACATTGCTCATCCTCCTCCTACTACTACTGCTGT